ACCGACTGCCCATTCAAAGTACAGAGTGACGAGGAACCAAATGGCTATTTGCACATCACACACTCGCCGCCGAGCAACCTTTTGTCGTCTTTGCCGAACACCCGTGGTTCGCGCAATGCGTGGGAAGGTGCGCTGCGATCGCATCCTAGGCCCCTTCCACGATTGACGAGCACGAGCGACTGGAAGAGACTTTACAAAGAGGAAGAAGAGTAAAATTGGTGCGGTGTCCTTTTCTATTCGGTAAATTTTGAGTCGCATTTGGCTTCGATGCACTGGACAAGTCAAATCAATTTCGCTTAACATTGTGCCATGGGCCACTAAAGTCAGGCCGCGATTGTGGACGATTAGAGGTGGGGCCCAAAGAGAGGGAAGATGGGGGGGGGGGGGTAAAAAAGGCCAAAGATAGGTGGGACCCATATGCAATTTATAGTGGGACCCATATCTCAATAAAGAGAAATATTCAAATAGGAAAAAGGTGTTTTAAACCTACAATGTAACTCACGTCGAGAGCTAATTCAGAAAAACAAAAAAAACACACATTTTACATTGAATGGCAATTTTGATCCACTAAAAGTGAAAAGTTTTCCCCACTTAAATACATTTGGATAATCAATAATTTTTTTTAACTATTTCTATAGATATTATTGTTTAAATATCGGGTGATCATAATAAATTATGTCCATAAGTAACATTGAAATTAGATTAACAGTGAATCGCGTTTCTTATAGAAATAACCCCACTAACATCATGGATCATGTAATGTACATGTCAAAATCCAATTAGATGATCTAATTTCTATTAACACTTGATGGTATGAATAAATCGAACAGTTACAGTGCACCTAATTCATATACAAAATTTCGTTCATTGAGCCTAACATACTTATAGATGAATCATTTCTTTTTGAATCGTCAAAGTTTTCAAGGAACGAATTTTTATCAATTAGATTAATCCTTTTGCGTGACAAAATAAGTCGCGCCAATGCGCAAGCTAGGGAGTAGTAAATGTGATTATGGGCATGGCAACATGAATGGATTGTTCATGCCGTATCAACTATCAAGGTCAGATCGCCTGAGAGTCAAGTTTATGAATGAATCTCTTTCGTGATAATGAAATTGGTTCTCTTACCATACCTAGTCATGAGCATGACGATCATTGCTTAAGAAGCATCACGAAAGGAGAAGTTGATAAGGGCGGATAGTAAATTACTCATAAAGTCCAGTAGGGTCTTAATTTGGAGCTTCTTTTGGGTACTGCTGCCCTACATCAGCCCACCTCCACATGGGGTGATAGATCATTTTGAGTTCTTCAACTTGAGCAAGTTGGGTTGACGAGCTCAAATGGCTTTGATAAAACTCAATTCCAAACTCGAGATTGTATGCCCATTATAAGTTCTCTTTTTCTTGAATAGGCTCAATTAATTTCATTATAGAGTTCTTAGCTTTGGCTGAACTGCCCCACCCTTTGATTACATTGGAAACTAGTTCTCGTGCATGCGCTCCGTGTGTCCAATTACTTTTAAGATGATATTGTAAATTGAATTTGCTAATTTTATCAATGATATCATTTTAGAGATGAAATAAGAACCAGAATATATATAAAAGTATAGGTTGAAAACATAAATAATGACGGTGTTGTGCCTAATTCCTATCTGCGGTTGTGATAAATGAGACCAAAAGGGTGGTTATATTTGCATAGAAAGATAGTGGGCAATTACATCAATGAATATAATATATAAGAAAGTCGATTTTGGAAAGCAAATAATGAGACAAAATGGTATTTTATCCTTAGTATTAGAAACACTCTCACTTAAGTCAATCCACGGAACTTTGCCAAGATAGAACGGGAAACCTAATCGGCAATCTTTAGTTTGGGAATCACGTATTGAACCACTCGACCAATTACCACAACTGAGGTGAAATGTTATATGAATGAATATGATTTGTATGAAAGTCAATTCTGGAAAGCAAATAACCAGACAAATTAAATGGTATTTTATGCTTAGCATTGGAAAAACTCGACTTAAGTCAATCCATAGAACTTTGCCAAGATAGAATGAGAAACCCAGCTGGGCGATCTTTAGTTTGCAAATCAACTGTTGAACCACTCGACCGACCCCCACAACTGAGATAACAGGTTCAATGCTTTCGTAGACTATGCATTTTCGGAGCACTTGCACCTAGCTTTTCTGTCCTTGCTCTGACATCTGCAGAACCTGATGCCAGGTTCAATGTAAGAGTTGGCACCATTATCATAAACAGAACCAAACCAAGGAAATAATCACATATCTTCCCATAACCATTGGAGAAAGGGTGGTATAACTACGAAACAAACGTAGGAAAACACGTGAATTTATTTTCATGAGCCTTCTTCAAGATTCAAAATCCATTAGCAACGACCAACTTGGAAAGGAAATACTTCTAATGTTACGAGATTATGAATGTGTAGGATATACATCTCGACTTGTTATAAGTATCGCCCCGTTTATTAAAATTACAATTTGGTTGGGTTTTATTTGGTTCGGTATCAATTAACCGAAAATATCCCGATAAAACACGAGAATGGTAGACCCCTTAACTAAATGTATTGATTTGATCCGGATCGGTTCGGTTCGGTTTATTAGGACTAGGGGAGCTTGAGTTAGTGCATTTAGTGGCTTTAATTGACCCCATTGAAAAACTGAATTGACTAATAATAACTACATGTGATTTAATTTCATGTTATGTTGGCCCCATTATATTTTGCGATACCTTCCCAAACGCTTGACATTGTTAAGAGCGTTGAAAGTTTCAAAGTTACCATACCATCGTGGGAGTTAACCAAATGGTGCAAGATTTACTTTCAAGTGATTTTTAGAGGAGCCGTGGTCCCATGTTCGAGGGCTAAGGTGAGCCTTCAGCTCTCACTTGCGTTCATCATGGTAGGATTATGGTGACAAGTCCATCCTCATGGATGGCTCAAATTTGACATTCCATCCAAGGCAAATTGCCTATGTGCTATCCCTTCCTTCACATATGGTGAGAAAAAAGAAACGAGATTGAAAATTTTAACCCTATAATTGCCTGTGATGGTTTTATGACCATCTTATAGAGGGTAGATTTAGTTTCGAGCCATTAGGTTTGAGTAGACTAGACTAATAGGCGAAGCAGGCAGACTTGTTGACAAATTTAGATTTGTTTGTTTCGCGAAAAATGAATGATTTGAAAAATATTTTCCTAAAAATGATCTCTTGTATCGCTTACAATCAAATTCTTATGTGATATAATTTTTTTAGTAAAATGAATGAACGGAAAATAGTTTCATCGTCCATGGAAATGTTTAGGAATAAATTATTGTATATAATGAAAACATTTTTCATTGACTAATAATTTTAAACGATACAAATGTTATTTTTTAAGAAAAATATTTTTTAAATCATTCATTTTTCGCGAAACGGATGGAGCCTTAGATTCGTCAGCTTTTGCTAAGTTTGAGCCGAGCACAAGTAGTTCAAGGATTAGATGGAGTCAATCTGAGATTGATAATACTTTACTTGAATTGCTCAAGGGGTCCCTAGCCTAATTTGAATAGCTTGGTGAGTCGAGCGCCTTGATATTTAAACAAGTTGGCCCCTAACTTCCTAATAAATTATTAAAATGACTTATGAAGCTTAAATAACTGTGTCATATGTCAATTAAATAAATAACTGTTCGATTTATTTTATGATGAATTTTAAGCTAGAGCTTGAGTTTCATGTTAGAATTTATTAACCGAGTCACGTCTAGCTAGTGTAATCTCGAGATATATGATACTTATCAAGTCGAGCTCAAGCTTGAATTTGAGAAATAAAATTCAACGTGGGGAAATGAAACCCTAATGTCAAGTTTGAGTATAAATTACGTCAAATCAAATTTAACTCGTTTCTTAAGGACTTCTTATTCAAACCTTGGCTAGTGATTTTTATTTCTAGCTCAATGAAAATAATCTCATTCGTCCGAATTAGTCGTCGCGTTACAAGTATTATCATATTGGGAAAAAAAAAGAAAAGAAATTCATAACACTTGATACACGATAGTTAGCTTACAAAGACGGTAATCTCGTGCTTCGGAAGCACTTAAAAACTTTCTCGACCGTTTCCTTATAGTGACATCTTGGAAGAAATGCGCTAATTTAGTTCCTTACTTGATCCATCATAACAAATTATGTTGTGTTCGGATAGGATAGGATAACCTCGAATTGTTATATCCTATCTTGTGCTCGAAAAAAATATTGAACATAACAATGATATGATCAAATCCGATCCCAATGCCGTTCCATTTTTAATCAATCTTTTTCTTGTCAATTCAGATTAATCCCACGCGCGTATTAGGCTCGGTGAAGTTATCAGGAAGTTCATCCGGACTTATTTGGGTTCATCCCATCCAGAGATGTCGCCACACCATGGACACAATAAAGTTTATCCTATCCAACCTCTTATCCGGTGTAGCAAACACGACCCTGTAATATTGCCTTGTTGAGGGCAATGAGATAACGATATAAATGATTCATGAACTTTGATCCAATGTGTAATGTGGTCCTTTGAACTTTTAATTTGTTTAATGTGGTCCCTGAACTTTTAACTCAATATGCAATGTAGTCTCTCAACTTTCAATTTATTCAATACGATTTCTGGACTGTTGGTACATGTTCAACTTGGATAACATTGAACATTTTCGTATAGTTCAGGGACTAAGTCAAAAAATCTAAAGACCATATTGAATATATTGAAAGTTCAAGGATCACATTGCACATTAGGCTAAAGTTCATAAACCACATCAAACTAATTAAAAATTCAAGAACCGCATTACATATTGGGCCAAAATTCGTAAACCATTTGTGTCATTTTCGGAGGGTAATCAATACTCAACGGGCCAACTTTCACTTGGGCCGAAGAACTGGGCCGGACGGATCACTCGGCCCAAAATCAGGCCCAACCGATCGAGCCCATACAAAAGGCACGACGCGAATCAGTTCGCTCGTCATCTCGTCAACAACGTCTTCTCGTCGACGCTGTTCGTCCCAGATCGAGATCGAGGCCGAAGCTCGGAGAAGCGACCGCCGGACCGCCGGTGAATGATCTCCCGCGAGAATCGCCGCCCTCTCTTCTCCTCCGCCGTCTCCGCCGCGGACGGGCTTCTTGCCGTCGTTGCCGCGTGAAGCTCCAGCTCGCGCAGCTGCCGCCAGTCATGGCTCTCCACCTCCGCCAGAAGCAGACAGGTACGTCCCCCCGGTCCTTCGTTGTTTAGGCGTTTGTGCTCGATCTATCGATTTTCCGGTGGAAATGATGCTCTCTGAGCGAGATTAGGGGAAGAATTGACGGATTCGGGAGTTCCGTGGCAGTAGATCGGTGTAATGCCGCACTCGCTGGCCGGATCCGATTCGCTATTTTCTGTCGTGCGTACTTGCCTGTCCATCGATGTTTGTGATTAGGCGGAATTCTCGTTTTTTTTCATGTGTGCTGGTTTGAGCTGTCGATAGATTCTGAGTAGGAATTGAGGAGTCTTCATTGTTTATCCTGCGAAATGGACGTATCGGGGGAATGGAATGCTTGTGATTTGGTGTCTTGTTGGTTTTGCATTTTCCACGGGGGGACGAATCTGATTCGTAGTATTCTTTTTTGGCACGCAGAATGTATAGTTCGGATGTTAAACCTGAACCAACCTGTGAATCCATCGGGGACTGCGAACGAGGAAGTGTATAAGATCTTGATCTACGACAAGTTTTGCCAGAACATACTTTCCCCGTTGATCCACGTGAAGGATCTTAGGAAGCACGGCGTAACCCTCTATTTCCTCATCGATAAGGATCGGAAGCTAGTCCATGACGTACCCGCGGTGTATTTTGTCCAGGCGAGTCAAGTTAATATCCAGAGAATCGTCGCCGATGCTTCTCGCTCTTTATATGATAGTTTCCACCTCAATTTCTCGTCTTCGATACCACGGCCGCTTTTGGAGGATTTGGCTTCCGGGACGTTGAATTCGAACTCATTAGATCGGATCTCAAAGGTTCATGATCAGTACTTGGAGTTTGTGACATTGGAGGATGACTTGTTTTCTTTGGCCCAGAAGTCATGTCATGTTCAGTTGAATGACCCATCGGCCGGGGATCGGGAGATTGAAGAGATTATAGAGAGAATTGTTAGTGGGCTGTTCTGTGTTCTGGCCACACTTGTGGTCGTTCCCATAATTAGGTGCCCTCGTGGTGGACCTGCTGAGATGGTTGCCGTGGCACTTGATCAGAGGTTGAGGGATCATTTGTTGTCGAAGAACAATTTATTTACCGAGGGTGGAGGTTTTGCTAGCTCGTTTCAGCGTCCAATTTTGTGTTTATTTGATAGGAACTTTGAATTGTCGGTAGCTATACAGCATGATTTTAGGTATAGGCCACTTGTTCACGATGTTCTTGGGTTGAGGCTTAACAGGCTGAATGTTCAAGGTGAAAAGGGTGGAATGAAGTCATTTGAGTTGGACAGTTCAGATCCCTTTTGGGTGACCAATGGTTCACTAGAATTTCCTGAAGTTGCAGTTGAAATTGAGAACCAGTTGAACAAGTATAAGAAGGATGTGGATGAGGTAAATAAAAGAACTGGGGGAAGTGGAGGTGCTGAATTTGATGGAGCTGATTTGATCGGAAACACGAAGCATTTGATGAATGCTGTTAATTCCTTGCCTGAACTGACGGAGAGAAAGCAGGTGATTGATAAGCACACAAACATTGCGACAGTGTTGCTGGGTGAGATCAAGGAGAGATCACTCGATTCTTATACCAAAAAAGAGAATGACATGATGGTCAGAGGAGGCATTGATCGGGCTGAACTGCTGGGTGTGCTCAAAGGGAAAGGAACAAAGATGGACAAGCTACGATTTGCAATCATCTATCTTATTTCCTCAGAAACTATTAATCAGTTGGAAGTGGAATCAGTCGAAGCAGCACTTAAGGAATCAGAGGTTGATACTACTGCATTTCAATATGTAAAGAAGATCAAGTCACTAAATGTTTCCTTGGCATCAGCAAATTCTGCCAGCAGAAGCAACATTGTTGATTGGGCTGAGAAACTGTATGGGCAGTCTATAAGTGCAGTTACTGCAGGAGTGAAGAATCTGTTGTCTAGTGACCGGCAGCTGGTGATGGCAAGAACTGTGGAGGCCTTGATGGAGGGGAAACCGAATCCGGAAATTGATTCTTACCTTTTGCTTGATCCTCGTGCTCCTAAATCTGGTGCTGGGACAAGTAGCAGCCATCTGAAAGGTCCATTTAAGGAGGCTATAGTTTTCATGATTGGCGGTGGCAACTATGTGGAGTATGGAAGCTTGCAAGAACTTGCAAAACACCAGCAACCTGTCAAGCATGTGATTTATGGAACAACAGAGATTCTCACTGGAGTGGAATTTGTTGAGCAACTTACGGTTTTAGGACAGAAGATGGGATTGGGTAGTGTGGATGCTCCTTCCGTGTCCCATTAGTACAGGTTTGGTCATTACCCATTTCTTTTTACCTTGGGGTTTGATCTCATGCATGTTCCGCATTTGCCTAATGAACATCAGGAAAACTTTCGGATCTAGAACTTCAATTTTTCTGTGACAATGATGCTGACTGTTTATGGTCGAAATGATTTAAATCGAGAATTTACCACTTTCGTCTGAGTTTTCGTAGATTATTTTGTCAACACTTGATAGTGGTGTTATAAAAACCCTGAGGCCCAGAAGCCAGACTGGCCTGGGGCTTTTACCCAATTATAGCCTAAGAGATATATGATGTTTTGTCAATAATATGCATTCACCATCTGAATGTTTAGACTAAACAAGCAAAGACCAGCTAGTTATCTTGAACTGCAACTGACCTCGTTGTGTCAATTAGGAATCTGGCTGTTGTTCTTCCTGTATCAAGTTATTAGCTATAAAGGCACAAAATCAGTGATATACTATTGAGGATACAAATTTGGAGCAGGGGAAAGATGGAATATTTCTTGATCTGGATCAGCTTGCAGACCTGACTTTCATACTCTTGAATTTCTTCTTCTCCTTATTCTTCTTGTTGTTAGTGTTCATGTGACAAGCCAAGGCCCCAAAAGGATCACTATTGAAATACCACATCTAGAAGCCCATATACTCTGCAATTTAGGAAAGTACGGAATTGTGATGGCCATTTAGTTACCCCCTCCCTCTCTCTGTCTCCTCTCTCACCAAATTAAAAACAAAAACATGTAGCTTAGTCATAGTAATACCCTGTCAACTATACATGCATGGCCTGACCAAAAAAACAAAAAAAACTATACATGCATGCAGCCCTAGATTAAGATTATTCTATCCTGTATGCAAGCAATTCTCAAGTTCCCTCAAACTAGTCACTAGAGTAAATAAAACAGCGATTTGGTTGGTTGCTTGAACATTATAGAGGTACTAGTCCAATAAATTCCCAAATCGCACTTTTTTAATTGTGGGCCTAAAAATTTGAAAATACCTTTATGTCACTCCAACCTTGCATCTCTAAAAGTCAATGATGTAATTTAGTGTTTCTAAAACCGGATCGCAATTGGCTGATTCAAAAAAAAAAAAAAAAAGGGTTGAACCACTGGTCTCTGGTTCAGCACCCTACGCTGTTTGGACTTGGAACCAGTAAAAGAACGGATTTGACCCAGTTCAACTGTTTAAACCAATCTGCAGATATCTTAAAAGGAAAATCCTCCTTGGTGGTGGGAGGATTCGATTACTTGCCTCTGAAAATTCTCACACATGTTTTTTCTTTTTATTAGAACCAACTCTTTTCGTCCTCTGATAGCAAAGCATCTAAATAACTTTTTATAAAATTGGGGCCAATATGTGATAATGGAGACTAGAATCAACAACCCTATTTACCAATGCAGCTTTGTGATAAAAAAATGCATTATTTTATGTATATTAGCCCTTTACTCTAGAACGCCTTTTTAACTTAAATTGGATAGTTCAGTCAGTCTAGCAGTATAGACCAGTTGAGCCATGTACCACCAGCTGCGCCAGTTCTTACACCCATATGTTTTTAAAAACAATTGTAATACAAGCTAAACAATCCCCAACCAGTCTGCTGTTTCTCCAAATCAATCATCCATTCGTCCTTTGGATATCAATTGCTTACATGAGACTTCCATCATACATTCAAATGAACTTATATTGGGGGAGGTTGGGATGGCAGTGGCAGGGTTTGGGATGTATGACGATGTCCTTAACCCGTTTACTTTTTGAGAGGAAGTGCTAAAGCTGGCCCAAAGAAGTAATTGGGAATCTGAAACTCAGTTGATGTTGTATTTTTAAATATTCAAATAAAAGACATTAATACAAAAATCAATATAATTATTGCCTAAATAACAGGTGAATTCCTAGATATTAATGGTATTTTTAAATAATGAGTAGTATGAGTTGGTTTTTTGGGATACCGACCATCTGGATTCCAAACTTGGCCCGAAGTAAAACCCCATAGGGTTTTCTCTTCCCAAAATGCCATTATAATCCTATAGGAGGATTTGGCTGGGATTAGAACCCGAACTCAATGTGCTTCCATTCTTAGCACCTAGGGGTGGGGGAGACTGGATTTTGGGGTATTTGTGTTGTTGTGCAAGATGACAGACTGGGAAGGAGTGTGGCTGCCTGGTTCTTTATTTTGAACTTGATATTGTTTGACAAACACATGGTTTACATATGTTTTCCCAATGAAAGTAAGTTTCAGAAATAGCGGAACTTTTCTGGGTAGAGATGGTGTCATTCTAAGATGACTGCCTTCATTATAACAAGATGCTGGAATATTGTTCATGTATGCCTGTTTTAAGCTACATAGGATCCAATATTTGTTGACTGCTTTACTTGAAATGCAGTCAGGATTCCTCCTTTACCTAACAGGTTTGTGCAGCCACCAAAATTCTGAAAACAGATCAGCCAATGTCTTATCTCAAATCAGTTCTGTAAACGAACATCTTTCTTTCTTACTAGTCCCTTTGTGCTGAAATGGAAAACTGGAATGCAATTTCTCTTGGTAGTTTCACTCAGACATTTTCTCCTATATGTTTCCAGTTGTTGCTATATGACTAAAGTGTCAGCATCTCGACAGTTGATCTCCCTGGATGCAACCTTGGATCTGACGACCGTGACGGCAGAAACAAAGGCGAAAAATGTAATTGAAAGACTGGCGATTGGACAAGCAGATTTAAGGCTCGTCTTCAGCATGAAACTTGTCCAGGAAATAGCGGGTGGGCACCAAATAACTTCTTCAGCAATCCCAGAGTTCTGCCTCCTTGCTTCTCAAGATACTTGTATATCATTTTCTCTGTGTAGCTTGTTTTACTCAATACGCAGGCATTTATTGTGGAACAAAGCAAACATCTGGCATCCCTTAGGTACTCACGAGATTTGCGCTTATCGAACACCTTTTGTTGTTTGTGAGTACATCGTTACATGTTTCTCCAGTTTTGGTACCCGACAAGGGTTTACGACTTCATTATCCGTTGAATGTGGCAAACGTTTGCCTTCAAAAGACATGTTTAACTTTCGACCAACACATGTTTAACTTTACGGTTTTAGGATACGAGTTTTTCCTTTCAAATCAGATAGAGAGTGCTGATGATGTGCCATTTAACACTGTGAGCATCTTGTCAGCCATCGCATGAGCACTTGACAGTCTCACTAGTTGAGTACGCTAATTCTCGAATTTGTGCCTACGACACTTCATGACATCAGGGTGGGACTAGGCATGTTCCTTGTGCCCACGACTAATTCTCGAATTTGGAATTTCTCACGAGGGCAATTTTATCATTGAATTCTGAGTCTGACCTTGAATTTTCATAATTGCAGTTGGAAAATTGTTGCAAAGATGTTGATAATTTGCTGCTGCTAATGCCGCCAAAGAAACTCCCTCTTTGAAACAGGGGGAAAAGCAAAATTATTTGTCTACTTTTGATTTTAGGCTTGGCTCATGGAAGGTCTGTAATGCGAAGAAACAAGGACTTAAAGCTATCTTGTTTGTTTTTGCGCCAAACTCTATCTGTTGTTATATATAACATGGCACGGGAATGGAAAAATGAAATTCTACAAGATATTTCGGAAATGGCGATAACTACATTTGGTAATTTATTTGGTACTTCAATTAAGAATAGTTATAGATATAAATCGATTATATATATCTCAAATTTGGTTCGTTTCGAAATAATTTTTGACAGACAATAGTCCCAAAAAATTGTGCATTGGTATTTACTTGTTAGACAATATTTTATAACTCCAAACACTTAATGCTTAAAAGAAATGCACTACAGCGCTAAAATTTATGGTCGTGTAGACACCGCATTGAAACGTCTGCGATGTTCAATGCAAATTTCTTTTTTGGTGTAAAACTTGCTATTTAAGTCGAATTTTGGAAACAAGAAAAGTCTATTGCTCATTTGAAGTTGAAGTTTTAGTAGTACAAGGCGTTGCTTTTGCTGAACAAAGAAAATTCAATTGGGCAACTTGAAGAAGCCCCCTAAACATTGATGACATCTTCCTTAAATATGCACGAAAATTTCAGATGACGTGCAATAATTCAAACAGTCAAAATAGAAATACGCTTCAAGAGTGGGTGTTGGTTTCATTGTTCTTGCACAGGCTGGTCATATGAGAAGAGCCGCAAACTTGAAGAAAAGAATGAGGGTTGTTTCACTATGTGTTGTGACACTGCCTTTACGGGGGAAAATTGTCCAAAAAAGTCTTAAACCTATTGCATTTTGGCTAATTCAATCTTAAACCTTTCAATTTTGCCAATTTAGTCCTAAATCTTTTGTATTAGTGCCAATTTAGTTTATCCGGCCAATTTTGGCTAGCCGGTGCTAACATGGACGCCGTTCGGTCAACGTTGATGTGATAATTTTTAAATATTTTTTTCGAATTTTTTTATTAATTTTTTCCTTTTTTTTTCACCTTCTTCCCTTTGGCCGGCCTCTGGCGAAGCTCACCCCCGCCGGCCACTGGCAAGGCTTGGCCTCGCCCAAATTTGGCAAGGTCGAGCCTCTCCTAGCCTTGGCGAGGCCAACCTCGCCGTCGCTGGGTCTCCCTTGCCGGCTGTCGCGACCTACCTGAACCGGCCCCACCACCTAGGTGGTTTGGCTAATGGATTACTAAGTTAAACCTTGCTCGAGCTCTCCCAAGCCCATACCAATTCGTGACTTAGGTTTAAGTTGTTACCATGCAAATCAATTTAATCTAGGAGTCGCCACTAATCAGTTTGTGGTAGGTCGATTAGGCACCCAAGTAAAGCATGGGAGAAGTGCTTCACTTCTACGAACCAGAGATTCGATGGGTACGGGGACTTGATTACATTAATTGACCAATTAGTGCCCTTTCGGTACCTGACCTTGTTCAATTATCACCTAACGTGTTCTCACTAACTGGGAGTCTCAAAATTCCATCCCTAATCAAGCTAAGGGAAGCAACCGTCAATAGCTGAACCTAACACGAATGGTCAATCACGTTTAAGGTTAAATTAAACACGCAATTTAAAGTGCGTGAACCAAATAACGTGCAATCAAACATGACTCTAATCACACAATAGGGCAAGAAAAACCAACTCCAAAGTCCAAATAATTTTTTTGATATTTCGAAATTTTTTTAATTTTTTTAAATAATTTTTTTAATTTTAAAATAATAAAATAATATTAAAAATAATATAAAACGGATCCGGGTCGGATCTCCACATCCGACCCGGATCGAGACTGACCCGGGCGCGCCGGCCCGGGTCCACGACCGGGTCGGACTCATTCATTGAGCCCGGTCTGGCAAATTAAAAAAGAAAAGGGCCTAGCCCGAAATTTTTAAAAAAAAAGAAAGCCCATGGCCCAACAAGAAATTGAAATTTCAAAATTTTAAAAAAAATCGGCCCACAACCTATTTCGGCCCAACTACGAAATAGCCCAAAATCTAATAAACACTCTAAAGCCCATACACCAAATAAAACCCTACCCGGTTAGACCCGCGAACCCGACCCAGACGTGAGCTGCCGACCCGGCTCACTTGAAACCCTAGTACCCGCGACCCGGCTCCCGACCCGACATGCGGCCGCTGCTCCAGCTTGGAGCTCGCGCTCGGCCTTCATGACTGGGATCGCGTCCGGCCACCACCCGAACATTGGCCGCCGCTCCATCTTCGTCGGCCGGCTCGACTGCCAGCTCCTCACCCGTCTGCGTTGCTGCCGTGGTGACCGGGGACCGACCGGGACCGTCCAAGCCCCGACGAGGGGCTGGCCGATCATAGGTCAACCAGATCCCGGCGAGGGACTGGTTCTCGCCGTCTGCGTCACCACCCCGACGAGGGGTGGCGGGCAACCTCCGCCCGCGTCACCACCACGGCGACTAGCGCCCGACCGAGATCGTCCAAGCCCCGACGGGGAGCTAGCCGGCCACGGATCAACCAGATCCGGGCGAGGAACTGGCTAAACCGAGCTCCGCACTCGTGTCGCCTCTCCGCGGACCTCCCTCGTTCGTCGGAAAAGAAACGAAAACGACTCCGCCGACTGAAAGCCGGCTGCAACCCAGCCAAGACACCACAAATGAAGAAAAAAAAAATAGCCAAGGCTCCGGAATGCATCGTACACCAAGGATAGGAAACCGGATCTCATTTATGCACAACATCGAACGGTTGGAGCGCGCGACGAAAACGGGATATTTTAGATTCGATCAAGGTTCCAAACGGACCGAAAACCCCGACACCAGATGCACGGAGAAGCAAGAGCAAGCATGAGGCGTCACGGGCCGGAACTCGCGCGAGCCGGACGGCCACGAGCTCCGGCCAGTGAGCCCCAAAAATAGAGTACACAGACCAGAACGGGGGAGGGAGAGGTGGCCGTTTGCGGCGCTCACTATCCGGCTCGGCGGCGACGAACGTTGGCGAACGTAATAGATCGGACACCGTCCGGTTGCCTCGTACGCCTTGGAGCTAGAATCCTCGGGAAATCGACCCCGAGTCGAACCAAACCAAAACAAAACCCGGTGAGCGCTCGGGACTGGGACCTACCGCGTGAAATGAGGTGCGCCGGAGCTTCGCTAGCCATGGCTGAGGCGCGGTGGTCGTCGACGGGAGACCGTTCGACCTCATATCTCACTCTCCAACGCTCTCGGCCTCACTTTCTCTCCGGATCTCTCTCTCTGTGTCTCTCGGCCTCTCTCTCCGTTCCGGATTTAAGGACGGCCAGTGTCGCGGAGCCGGTCAACAGGCGCGCATGGCCCCTGCCACCGCGTTGTCGGCTTGGCCCCGACCCGTGGATCACGCCGGGCGATGCGCGGCGGTCCTGGCCTCTGTTCTGGCTTCTGCGTTCTGTCGAATTGTTCCTCCCCCATACGCCTCGAAGGTTGACCGGGGGGAAGATGAACGGGGCGTGGGGGCAATTTGAGGGAAAAGGGGCTGGCCCGCGTGGTAATATAAAAAGAGAGGAAAAGATAAAACCAAATAAATAAATAAATGGGCTGCACGAAAAATAAAAAGAAGGGGAGAGACAAAGAATGGGCCGACGGGCCTAGCCCGGAAAAACACTTCTTTTTTTTTACCTGAATATGTCCTAATAGGCCCTATTAATGTAAATGTGCCTAATGTCTATATGCCATGTAATTTAATGAAAATATTTTTTGTTTAATGGGCCTAGCCCGGAAAAACACTTCTTTTTTTTTATGCGATAAAACCCTAAATGATTGAGCAAAATTTAGGTGTCAACAGCTGCCCCTCTTTGAAGGGGAGCTCGAAGAGGTTCCTTTCAAAGATAAGAGACACTTAAATTTTGTTCATAGAGGGCATGGAAGATGCATGAGAGATGATTGATTTTTTTTTTTTGATTTTTAAGGGGACAAAACTAAAATGACGTTTAGGGACTAAAACCCTGTAAACGTCGGGAATTCCACCTAGGGATTAAAACCCTATGAGCAACTAAGATCCCGTCTAGGGACTAAAACCCTATGAACGGCAATAGGAACGGCGCCTTGAAGGAAAGGCAAGAGACTAAAACCCTATGAACGTTGAAGATTCCGCCTAGGGGCTAAAACTCTATGAACAACGAAGGGACAAAAACCCAGAAAGTACGCATAGGGACTAAAACCCTATGAACGTCAAAGATTCCGCCTAGGGGCTAAAACCCTATGAACGACGAAGGGACTAAAACCTAGAAAGTACGCCTAGGGACTAAAACCCTATGAACGTCAAAGATTCCGTCTAGGGGCTAAAACCCTATTGAACGGCAAAGGGAATAAAACCCAGAAGGAACAATATTTCCTATCAAAATGCGAAGAATCTCCACAATGAACAGGTCAAGAGGGACATTACGAGCCATAGTAATGCTCCATGTAGAAAAAGTGTTTCAAGCAACTGTTGAAGCTCGATGCATGTCGATTTCACCGGGAAAATTTGCCGTAATGCAATGATTCTGGACTGTTAAAGCTCACCACACTTGTCGATTCGCAAACTACCGAAGTGGTCACTGCACAAAATGTGTCTTAACGAACTCACTGATAGCAAAAAACATCATTACTCAGAGAGCGTTGATTGTACAAGTAATTCAAACTGATTTTGATTGTCCAGCAAACATTCAGCATCGTTCAATATCACAAAATTGCCATCAGGCTTAGAGAACGTCATTAATCATTAAACTCCCTTAGAAGACAAATCTTTATCAAAAAGGACCTTGGTCCATGAAGAGGGCTTGTTAAGTATGCCAAACAAGAGCTTTTTAGTCGGAAAGGACTTTTCACATATCCTCAAGAAGGCTGTTTGATCCCATCCATTAGTGTGGGAAGTAGACATGATCTCTCCATATACCTCACATTACCAGTGTCGAAAGTTTCGAGAATCATTCGCAATAAGTACGCATTGACCAATTCAAGAGGTTTTTTTTAAAGGACTGTAAAGTAGAGTTGGTCATGGTTTCAACAAAGGATAAACATTATCAGCCAGGAAATGAAATAATCGTCACTCAGCATCTCCGCTAGGTTTACAAGTCAAGAAGCCTTGAGACAAGATAAGATAACATTGCCCCCACTTCTTCAAGCGATAGCTTCTTTGGGAATCCAAATTTCTGCTTAGACCATCCCAATCCGAAGAGACTTTGGAGAAGGTTATAACATTGGTTTGGGTAAAGGCTCGAAAGGCTTAGAAATTTTCAAAAGGGATTCAAAGGTTGGTGATCACCATGGCATCATTACCATATCATCCAATCTTGTCGAAGGCATTCGACTTTTGAAATCCAACTTGTCTCGAAAGTCCATTGGCTAATCGTTCCAATACAAGGGCTCTGCTCTTTTTCTAATGACTTTTGCATTGGCAATAATCACCTTTTTTTTTTTGCATTGGCCTTACTTTTACCAGGCACACTGCTTTTTTATGCCTCTGGCTTTCGTTTGCTCATTTGAACTTTTTAAGCTCTCAGGACTTTCGAGTTTTTTATTATTATTATTATTATTATTATTATTATTATTATTATTATTATTATTATTATTATTATTATTATTATTATGCGTTGTCGCACGAGCGCCAATTGCTGTGGAAAATCATGTGCCTTGCCCCAGTGTGGGGAAATAATTGCCACTCGGGCTTTTGAAATGAATGTTCAGGCTCAACTTGGCTAAACAAAGGGTATGAGTGTTTTGGTAGAGGAAGAAATGCTCTTCTTCATTTTGGGACGCTTCGAGCTTTTATAAGGACTCGTTTGAAGTTACCACCAAAGAGCAAAGAAATTTTTCTCATCTTTTCCTCTGAAGAATGTCAACCAAAATCTCCAAATTTGCCCCATTGTGGGGTGGTTCTTGATAGGGGTATTTTGTAGAAATTCTTCACATGTGAAGGCTCGAAGGGGCTTAACTATGATTACCTGTAGTGTGTAGGATGGATGAAAGAAATGCCTCTTTTCATTTTGATCTATGTACTATTTGCGAATGAATCTCTCGTCCTAAAACACGATTTTTTTTGCAATCAACTCACAAAGTGTTTATAGGACGTGTTTGGGAATGGTTCGCCTTTCTTCATTCTAAGTGCTTCTCGCTTGGCATGATTAACATATTTCCTCTTGTTTTGCCAAGATCACCTGAGTTGATTGATCTCCATAGGGAATTTTGATTGAAAATGAATGTTCCACTAAGCATCAAGATAACTTTGGACAAGGATGATATTAAAATTTTTGTGAAAAGTTTATTTTCAGAATTTCTACTTTTATGCTTGTTTTTCTCAAACCTGCCAAAAACCCCTTTTTTTTTTCAAAGCAAATTTTCCATTCAACCTTCTTTTGACATTAAGAAAAAGGGTACTTACCTACGGTTTAGTGACTTGGTAACCCCCTCCTTCGCATTTGGCTTGTTGGATACTTGCCAAGACAGTTCAGTCGTTTGTGGATCAATTTGCGGATTATTTGGGACCTACAAAGTAAACATGTGTGCATGTATGCATGATATGCATGATGTGAATAACCTACAGTGATTCGGATTGCATCGAAAATGGCTCTCGGTTCTCGGATTTCATTCAAAGAAAATACTTTTTCACCGAATCAGCATTTACAAGCTTTGGCAACTCTTGGCCATCCATTTCTACAAGAATTAAGGCACCCCCAGGTAGAACCTTTCTAACAACATACGGGCCATCATAATTTGGGGCGAACTTTCCACCTAATTCCGGCGTGAGAGACAACACTCTCCTTAGCACGAGATCTCCGGCTTCAAAATATCGAGGTCGGACCTTGCGATTGAAGGACTTTGCAACTCGCTTTTGGTAGCATTGACCATGTCATAAAGCCTTTAGTCTCTTCTCATCGATCATGTTCAACTGATCCCATCTCTGTTGAGTCCACTCTTCCTCATAGAGCTCAGCTTGTGAGAGAATCTTTAATGAAGGGATTTCGACTTCCACGGGTAAGACTGCTTCCATACTATAAACGAGCGAGAAAGGAGTCGCCCCTGTCGAAGTGCGGATCGAAGTTCGGTATGCCATCAACGCATAAGGCAGCCGTTCATGCCAGTCTCGATAGTTGTCGGCAGTTTTTGACAAGATCTTCTTTATGTTCTTATTGGCTGCCTCCACAGCTCCATTCATTTGTGGACGATAAGGTGAGGAGTTCAAGTGACGGATATGAAACTCGTCAAGTAAGCCATCTACAACCTTGTTGTTCAGATTTGAGCCGTTATCAGTAATGATCACCTCCGGGACTCCATAGCGAGCGATGATGTCACGGCGAATAAACTTGGCCACATTCTTGGCGGTAACATTGGCATATGAGTTCGCCTCGATCCACTTGGTGAAGTAATCGATGGCTACCAAGATGAAGCGATGTCCATTGGAAGCCTTAGGATTAATTGGCCTAATCATGTCGATCCCCCACATTGAGAAGGGCCATGGCTCAGACATTTAGCGCAATTCATTCGGGGGTACGTTTATTTTATCGGCATAGATTTGGCACCGATGGCAATAACGAACATGCCGAATATAGTCAGCTTCCATAGCCATCCAGAAGTAACCCAGTCTCATGATTTTTCTGGCCAAAAGATGACCGTTCATGTGCGAACCGTATTCGCCCTCATGTATTTCTCTCATCAACCGATTAGCTTCTTTGGCATCAACGCATTTCAACAAAATTGAGTCAAAGGACCTCTTGTAAAGAGCATTGCCACTGATGAAGAATTTCGACGCTAACTTCCTTATGTGCTTATGATCCGCTAGCTCACTCCCATGAGGGTATTCACCCTTTTGAAGATAGTTCATGATGTCGTGATACCACGGCTTCTCATTAGGTTCATCCGCGATTGCCGAACAGTAAGCCAGACATGTCAGTATTTCGATCTTCAGTGGCTCGATGTCTAACCCTTCCATGACTTGTAGCATTGATGACAATGTGGCCAGGGCGTCGGCGAACTGATTCTGCGCTCGGGGTAAATACTCAAAAGAAATCTACTCAAATTCCTTTATTAATTCCTCAAGGAATTCATGGTAAGGGATCAATTTGGGGTCACGAATTCGCCATTGACCTCTGTCTGAAGAATGATGAGGGCGGAATCGCCGTAAACCTGTAGCTTCCTAACTTTCATGTTGACGGCCAATTGCAATCCCAGTATGCAAGCCTCGTATTCTGAGATATTGTTGGTACAAGGGAATACCAACTTGGCGGCCACAAGGTGGTGCTGACCTGTCGGGGAGATAAGGACTGCCCCAGTCCCGGAACCAGCCAGGTTAACGACACCATCGAAGTACATAGTCCACTTATCGCTCACTATTTCCGAAATGCGCTCTTCTATAGGATCTGACTGATCATGATCTTCCGACCTTTCAAAGTTTTTTGCCAACATGTCAGCTATAGCTCTTCCCTTGACGGATTTCTGCGCCATGCTGTGGACGTCGAATTCGGATACCAGAACTTGCCACTTTGCTAACTTTCCGACCAACGCAGGTTTTTCCAGCAAATATTTGATGGGATCATTCTCAGTTACAAGCAGAATCCGATGATGGAGTGTGTATTGGCGTAAGTGGTGTAATACCCACACGAAAGCCACACACGTTTTTTCAACTTCGGGGTAATTTATTTTGGATGAAGTAAACTTCTTACTGAGATAGTATATCACACATTCTTTGTCATCACTTGGTCTCTTTTGAGCTAGCAAGGCTCCCAAAGATTCATCATGAATAGTCAAATAGAGTATCAATGGCACTCTAGGGACAACTGGCACTAGAACCGGCGGATGAGAGAGGTATTGTTTTATTTCCTCAAAGGCCCTTTGACAGTCGGTATCCCACTCGACTTTGGCATTCTTTTTCAGGAGCTTGAAGAAAGGTTTAGCCGTCTCAGACAATTGAGAAATAAATCTCACCACATAGTTCAGTCTTCCTAGCAAACTTTGAACCTCTTTGACAGTTGAAGGAGGCTTCAAATCACAAATGGCCTTAACCTTCGACGGGTTAATTTCAATGCCTCGACTACTGACCATGAACCCCAGTAATTTCCCAGACTTTGCCCCAAACACACATTTGACGGGGTTAAGTCTTAGCTTGAACTTTCGGAGTCAGTCAAACAATTTTCGCAACATCTCGATGTGGTCCTCTCCATATTTGGATTTGGCAATCATGTCGTCTACATAGACCTCCACCTCCTTATGCATCATGTCATGGAACAGGGTGACCATTGCCCTTTGGTACGTTGCCCCGAAGTTCTTTAAGCCAAAAGGCATTACCTTGTAACAAAAGGTCCCACGTGGGGTAATGAAGGAGGTCTTACTTTTATCTTCCTCTTTCATCCGAATTTGATTGTAACCAGAAAATCCATCCATAAAAGAGAATAACTCAAATCCCGCGGTGCTGTCGACCAACACATCGATGTGAGGCAGTGGGAAGTCATCTTTTGGACTTGCTCGATTCAGATCGCGGTAGTCAATACAAATCCTGACCCGACTAACCTTTTTCATGACAGGGACTACATTGGCGATCCAATTAGAATAGTGCGACACTTCTATGAAACCCACTTTCAACAACTTCATGACTTCTTCTTCGATTTTCTTGGATAATTCGGGTTTTGTTCTTCTGAGCCTTTGTTTCTTTGGCGGGATACTTGGATCAGTTGGTAGAGCATGCTCTACAATTTCCCTGTCTAACCCTAGCATATCCGCGTACGACCATGCGAACACATCTTGGTATTCTTTAAAGAGGTCGACCATCCTTCTAGCCTTGATTTCAGAAAGGCCAGCTCCGATCTTGATCTCTCGAACATTCTCCGTATCACCCAGATTTATTGTGATTGTAGGCTCTGCGGTCAACGACTTAGACTCCTCGTGCTGAATCCAATCTTGTTCGATGTTTCTCTGATCACAGTCATCCTCGTCATCATCGGACCCAAAGGAATTTTCGTCAAGCAAATCTGACTCACATATCCACCTATCATGATTATGTGAAATGTTATGCCTGAGATGCCACAAATAAGGTTAGTAATTAAATTAGCAAATGTTATTGCAACTAATGATATGCATGTGTTTTGAAATCATTTTGAAAGAGTTTTTTGAAAATGAGGGATCCGTCCTCATATCCTTGGACGTTCCTATACGCAAATGATTTTGGAAACTAGAAAGCGTGCGGAAGTCCAGGCCTCAAAGCATCATCATCAGTCTGGTTTGGGTACTTCCTCATGTCCTTAATATAACATGATCATGATTTCATTAACAAGATGAGGCCGTTTACATGACTCGAGGTCTTGGACTGACGGCTCGCAGTCCAAGACTTTGATTACAAAGAGAAACAACACCCAAACCTAAATAGACTTCCCATGAAAGGGATGAACATAGACTTAAACAAGACGAAACAGGAAAGAAAAGCAGCATCCCTACTCAAAAGGGTTGGCGGTGGTAGTAGAGGGCTCGGCCTCTTCATTTTCCATGATAGCGCAGGCAAACTCTCTCTCGAATAAATCAACTAGGCCAAGAACGGCCTCCTCTTCCTGCAGCAGCTTGGGTGGACCCGGGAATATCTCTTTCAATTCCGGAAGAAGTAAGCCCTTCCGACCTTCTCCTAACCCAAATAAACTCGCTCGACCTCCGCAACTTCCATGATTAGCTAGGCCTCCGTAGTCACCACGATCTTTATTGCTTCCTTGGCCACCATAATTAGTATGGCCTCCACGACCACCACGGCCCCCATGTTGACCTCGACCTCCGAAACTATCTCGTCCTCCATGGTTATCTCGGCCACCAGAATCGCCGTCATGATAACCTAGGCCTGTCCTTTTGCGCCACTTGGAGACCTGAAGGGGTTCTTTGATATCTTGGCCATGCAGTCCCAGGCCGGTTCCGGGGACATGACTATTTTTGAGCAACACCTTGCTCGACATGATTGAAGGCTTAGCCATTTCTAGGTCTCGCATGATGGTTCCAACGGGCACATGGACCATCGAGACTAGCTCCAAAGTTTGATAACTTGATTCAGCCTTGTTCTCGGGTTCTACGTATGGGATCACGGTGTCGTGAAAGACCTTAAAATCAGTTTCTCCATGAACAGTTACCAGCTTCCCATCCACGATGAATTTGACCTTTTGGTGCAGGCTCGAGGGTACGGCTCCGGCGGTGTGTATCCAAGGTCATCCCAATAGAAAATTGAAGGCACTAGGAATATCTAGGACTTGGAAGCTGACCAGAAAAATGACTGGACTAATTAGCAGTTCAAGCTCAACCTCACCAATTACTTCCTTCTTCATACTGTCAAAAGCACGAGTGGTAGATTTAGATACCAAAATTTTCTCTTCATTCACCTCCAAACGACGAAGGGTGGCAAGTGGGCAAATGTTTAATGCAGACCCATTGTCAATTAGCACTCTCGCCACCATTCTGTCTCGACACTTAACCGAGATAAGTAGCGCCTTGGTATGGTTGCGGCCTTCCGGAGGAAAATCTTCATCGGCGAAAGAAATCTAATCTTTCAGCAAGATGGACCCAATAAACTCCTCCAACTGGGTGTCATTGATAGTTTCAGGAACGTGCACTTCATGTAGAACCTTGAGTAGTGCGTTTTTATGTTTTTCGGAGGATTTGAAAAGATCTAGAAGTGATATCTGGGCCGGCATCTTCCTCAATTGATTGACAACATCAAATTTGCTAGTCTTAATAATTGCTAAAAACTGTTCGACCTCTTCATTTGAAACAGCCCTTTTCTCAACCATCTTGGTGGGATCATAACATCGACCAGAGCGAGTGACAGCATCGATTTCGTTCACCTTGTAACTCCAAGGGACCGCCTTAGCATCGTAACTAGGGGTCATTTCCACTATTATGTCTTCTTCATCCTCGGGTGGGAGTTCAATCGCCATCGGTTCCACGTCATAATCCTTGATTTCTAGTGTAGCAAACTCTTCGGACATAAGATCAATGACTACATGCTCAACATCTCGTTCATCGAGATCTGATAGATCTTCTTCGACTAATAGGTCGATGACCACGGGGGTAATCATGTTGACCATCTCCTCCTCAGGCTCAAGTAGATCGTCCATACCTCCCCATCCATCGGGAACAACATCTTTGGGATCGATGAAGAAACTTGGTGGAGGTGAATACTTTACAAAATAGTCGAATTTGCTGCTAGGTTGACCTAGTGTATCAACCACTTCCGTATTCTCGTGAGCGAGCTTTATGAACTCATGGTTCCAATCGACATTGTTAGCTTGATGCTGAAGATTGTCATATGAATTCTCTCCTTCACTGTCGGTCATAATTAGGCTCTCCGACACACCCTCATTAGTCGGCTCGTTAGTTTCTGTAGGCTCAACAAGTGTCTCCTCCGACTTCTTCTCACAAAATGAGTCAATAACAGCCGTCATGGCCGTCATACTATCTTCCTTCATACTATAGATTACTCCCATGTCCACCATCCGAGTGATACATTTCAATTTTTCTTCCATCGGAATATCCTCCCCATCTTCAAAGTGTCCAGCTGACACTAGTAATTTATAAAGTTTATGAACATCTACATTAAATGTTTGCTTACTCTCATTGCTTTCTTCTGTAACTATGTTGACATTCTCAGCATGATTAGGCAATGGATTTTGTTGGATATTAGGGGGTGGATCCTTGAAGGATAAAATGCTCTTGTTGAGTAAATTCTGAACTTTGTTCTTGAGAGTGAAGCGGTTATCTACATCATGACCCTTCTCGCCTCTATGGAACTCGTAAGACTTCGATAAGTCGAACCCAGGGAATTTTGGAGGATTATCCCGAGGTACTTCTTTGGCTATCATTCCCCTTCTCAACAACATAGGCAGCAACTTGGATAAAGATCTAGGCAGAGGAGTGAATTGCCTTGGTGCCTTCTTTTTGAATTCATAACTCTGATATGCCCTCTCTCGAAACACAGACGGGCCTTGAGAGGATAAGGCAGGGGGCCTTGTCACAACTGGTGCTTGTACATACGCAATCTCCACATCCTTTTCTTTTCTATTCGGGACCTTTCGACTAGTCCCTTCGCTTAATCTACCATCATGCATGGCCCCCTCTATCCTCTCCCCGACATCTACCAGCTGAGAGAAGGTCAAGCACCCAGAACCCACCAACTTTAAATAGAAATCATTAGGTAAGGCCTTGAGGAAAAGATCCAATAGCTCCTTTTCACTGAGCGGGGGTCGAACTTGAGCGGCGAGAGTACGCCATCTTTGAGCAAAGGCTCTGAAAGACTCACTTCGTTTCTTTTCAGTTCGAGTCAGCACTTCACGTGTGGGGGCTATCTCGGTGTTGTACTTGTATTGCAGGATGAACGTCTCAGCCAACTCCTCCCATTTCTCGAACTTCTTGGGCTCCGACAACACATATCATTGCAATGCAGGCCCCGTCAAACTCTCTTGGAAATTCTGAATCATCAATGGGACATTCTGGGCATACCTTGCCATTCGGTTCAAATAGTACTTCAAGTGGATCTTTGGGTCTCCAGTCCCATCATACTTAGTGAAATCGGGAATCTTGAACTTCTCAGAAAAGCTTATTTGTGCATATCGAGACAGATCCTCGATCATGTGCTCTTCATATCCTCGCAGCGCACAAAGTTTCTCTTCTATCTTCGCGAATCTCTTGTTGTGTTCGTTCTCCAAACGAGCCGTGACGGCTTCCGAAATGGGGTCTAGTTCGACTAATACATGTGTAGAACCCAATGCCTCCTCAACAACATTCCTTCTCACAGGTTCTTCTACGGGCTCGGGAATAGCTTGAGGTGCGACTTGACCAGCATTTGGTGCTGCTAACGCGGCTCTCATATCATTGGCGAATTAAGTGAGCTGAGCCGCAAGATCATTGATCTTGTCGTCGAGAGCGGCGAAATGGGCGTTTTGCTCCTCGACATTCATTCGTGTGGCTCTTGATCGTGTCCGAATCGGCGATTGCCTCGAAGCCGTAGCTTTGCCTTGGCGGAGGAAGGGAGCGTTGGCGGGCTGTCAGACTCAGCGTGGACACCGTGATCACCGGAAGAT